ATCAATGGACAATGGAAAACCAGTCGACGCGGCCTCTGCTGACGTGCGGTTTTCCATCCAGCTAACTCGTTACTTCGCCGGCTACGCCGACAAAATCCACGGCAAGGTTATTCCTGCTGATGGTAACGTGGTCTGCTGGACACGTCATGAGCCCGTTGGTGTCGTCGGAGCCATCATTCCCTGGAATTTCCCTATCCAATTAGCTCTCCTCAAGATCGCCCCCGCAATAGCCTGTGGTTGTTCCATTGTGCTGAAACCCGCTGAGCAAACCCCCCTCACTGCCGTCTACCTTGGTTCGCTTGTAAAGCGCGCCGGTAAGTGCCCCCTGTCATGTCAAACCACCCCCTCCCCATTGCCTTTTATCTATCTGCATCTATTTGTCGAGACCGCCAATGAGTGCCACGCAAGTGTGCTTTCTCCCTATCTGATTGGTCTTTCGGCTGCTATCATCCAAACCAACCATGAAAAAATGACTGTCACCATCTGCATGCCTATCATAGGCTTAATCTGCCAAAAATCAGCAGCCCTCTCTAGCTTTTCTATGGGCTGGTCGTTCGTAGACGCCAGGAGTTGTGATGCATATTATGCGTTACGATGGGTGTTAGATAATCTAAGAAAGCGGAAGACCTACGCTTTTTATGTTCGGCTGTCAACTTCTTCCCTTAGGCGTGCGTTCATGCTCTCCAAAGCCAAGACCCGGCTCGTATGTGTGAGCAGCAACTGATCACCCTTTTGCTGTTGCTGCTGGTACCGATACTATATCAGACGACAAACTCCTGTACGTGTTCGAAAGCTAAGAATAGTAGAAAATACCTTCCAGTGCTCGGCCACTCTTCTCTCTTACTCGTGCAAACGCGAACCTTCGCATTCGTTCGAGAAATGACAATGTTGAACTCCCTTGGCTCTTTCGGTACGTCTGATTACTGGTCGCCGTACCAGTTCTTGCAAAGACTCTAGATTGAACCCCAAAATTTAATAGAACGAGCAAGTCCTGTAGACTGATTGATAAACGCTCTTATTACGATTTGGTACTAGCAGCTTTTACTTAGAAGCAGGAGTTTCCTTGGTTGAGGCGGAATAAAACCCCACATTTCCAGCTTTGTCGACAGCGATTCGAGCTCGATTCGGGTTAAGGGTTAGGATTAGGGTTTTGGTTAGGGTTAGAGGTTGGGGTAAGGGTAAGTGCTAGGGTAAGGGTTAGGG